AACGACCCCAGGTAACGAAAACCTCCTGTTTGTGTGTCTACCTCCATGTTTGTTGATTTGTTGACGTGTTTGTGTGTCCGTCAGGCCGTCCCATGCTGACCTCCCATCAGTCTCCGCCCCCCCGTTGCCGAGAGCGGAGCTTGATGAACTCCGTTTCTCTGATGAAGACAGTCGGTCTCGAGGTACCCGGGAACACCTGCCCAGCTCTGATGATGCTTCCTGTCAGGGGGCCAATCAGCAGCAAGAGGACAGCACCCGCAGCCAGTCAGGAGAGAGGGCCAATCAGGAGAGACTGTCTGCACAAATCACACAGCAGGAGGAAGGAGGGACACACTTACCACAAGCCCCGCCCCCATATTCACAAACGCCGGCCCCACAAAGGCAGACCCCACCTCCACACTGTCAGGCTCCGCCCTCTGTCCACAGGAAGGCCCACAGGAAGACCAACAGGAGGAAAACCAGTGACTCCTCGGCCTCCTCACAGCCTCACAGAGGTCCAGGCCCTGACCAGGAGCTGAGGCCCTGGACCCCCACGGAGCCGAGGCTCCAGACCCTCACAGAGCCAAGGCCCCGGACCCTCATAGACCCGAGGCCCCGGACCCTCACAGAGCCGAGTCCCTGGACCCCCACAGAGCCGAGGCCCCGGACCCCCACGGAGCCGAGGCCCCGGACCCTCATAGACCCGAGGACCCGGACCCTCACAGACCCGAGTACCTGGACCCCCACAGAGCCGAGGCCCCGGACCCCCACGGAGCCGAGGCCCCGGACCCTCATAGATCCGAGGCCCTGGACCCTCACAGAGCCAAGGCCCTGGCTGAGCTGGCAGAAGGAGAGGAGGGAGGCTCACAAAGAGGAGGCCTTCTCCTCGGACCACAGCGACCCCCTGGACCAGACTATCGAGGAGGTTTGTTTTCTGCTGTTCACAAGTTATTGTTGACCTCCGAACTTGAACGTGCAGGCGTCAGACTTTAGCCTTCATCAGCTTTTATCGGGCGTCGGATACTATCGTTTCCTCAGAGGTAATTTGAAGTCACAGTAAATCAGTTGTTTGTGTTGGTTGCTCAGGTGATTCAGGTGTACTGTCATGGCGTCAGTTCCACTCCCTGCCAGCAGGAGGACACAGAGAGCTTCCACGTCAGCCTTCCTACCTCCATGGAAACACACAGTGACGACTGGGACTCACCTCTGCAGGTACCTGTGTTTCAGCTGGAGGAGGGCTCTGTGTATTTTATTGGTACTAAAGCTGGGTGTTCCTTCGCAGGTGGTTCTCCAGCGAGGTCATGCACTTAGTGACACACCTGTCCAGGTGAGTCACACAGAGGGGCAGGACCTAAGCCGTCTCATGGATGTGCAGGTAGACCTGGAGGACCAGGTGTACTCGTACCAGCTCGACTCCGCCCTCCACAGCGACGGCAGACCAGGGGGTGGGGCCAGGCAGGACCAGGGTTTCTGGACTCTGCCCATCGAGGAGGTGCTACCTGCCCCGGAGCGTATCCCAGAATCCTTTAGGGGGAAGAGCTGGGCGCAGATCGAGCAGGAGGACGAGGAGAAGGTGGAGAGGCTGGTGCAACAGTTCAGACGAGGCCGGTTCCTCTGTTACTTCGACTCTGAGTCGCTGGCCAGGTGACGACACACTTACATGACCACGTGTTGCAAACTGACACGTATGTTGTTATCATCACGTCTGTCGTCTGCTGCAGTTCATGAACTTGTAAAACTGATGTTTTAAAAGTTATTGATGTAAATTAACTTTTTTTGTTTTGACGACGACGTCATTGCTCGCAGGTACGGCAGGAGGAACAAAAACAAGGGGCGTGGTCAGTCCAAAGAGGCGGAGCCAGACCCCGGTGTGTTGCCACTGTTGGAGCAGCCCGACAGTGACTCTGTGTACGTGAGGAGGAAGAGGCGGGGCAGGACGCGGAGCTGCAGGCTGGCATCCAGGTGTCAGGTGAGTCACACAGACACTTTCCAGAGATCATGTCGGAAGACAGACGTCTGACCTGGTTTTTCTCCCTCAGGTGGTTAAAGTTAGTCACAGCACTCAAACCGTTCGATTGGTTGTCCCGGCTGTCCATCAGTTGACAGTGGAGGCCCCGCCCAGCAGCATCCCTGCAGCTAATCAGGAGGCAGCAGAGAGGACACCTGAGGCACAGGCGTGGCGCTGCCTCCCTTCGTCGTACTACAACATCATCACACCTGTGCAGCCGCGCACCTCGCTGGTCTACCTTCTCTGTTCCCCCTCAGGTCCCGCCCCTGCCTGCACACCTTCCCCAGGCTCCGCTCCCAAACGCTGCAGGAAAAAGAGGCGTCCACTCGACCAACACGGGTTAAAGGTGAAATACAAGCAGCTTCCGGTGCGGTTCTACGAGCCTGGAACCAACCGCATCCTAAAGAACGCACCCAAGGGCTTCCTGTGGCGCCGAGGCTCCGCCCCCACAGGCCCGCCACCTTCCTGCGTACGGCAGCTGTTCCGGAGTCTGAGTCCGGATCTGAACACCGACAGACCGGCGGCGGCGGAGTGCGCCGCAGGGTCCTCCAGGGTCAAAGGTCAGCAGTCACCTGACCCACCCTTCAGCAACAGCAGCTTCCTCCTGAGCACGCTCCGTAGGGGCTCTGCTGAGACCAACATCGCCAGGAGGCGGGGCAGGATGTCTCAAGCCCCGCCCTCATCCCTCGACAGCAGGTCTGAACGGGGGAGGGGTGGCAGGAGGGAGAGGACACGCCCACCAGCCTCTAAGAGACGAACCAGGGCTCAAGCCACGCCCCCACAGCCCAGGAGGGAGGGCCTACGCAGGGCTGGACTTGGCAGGAAACTCCCTGGCTCCACAGGCCCCGCCCCCCTCTCTGCCATCCCCCCCTCATCCCGCAGGGGGCGGGGCCGAAGGGGGCGGGGGGGCGAGAGGGGGCGCAGGTAGCAGGACACCTGTCCAGGTAACAGCCTCATTAATAAACATGTAACAATCTGCTGATCGATAAACCTGATCAATCTGATTGATCTTGTCAATGTAGCAGCAGTAAAGTTTATCAATGAGGCTGCTGGACTTTACAAGATCATCTGAAGTCTGAAGTTTACAGTCGACATTGATTTCAAGCAGAGCTGTCAGAAACCTAAATCCAGTTATCATTTTTATTAGAGCTGAAGTCAGAACAGCTGTTTGATGTAAAAGTCAGAAGTTCAGGTTTTATTTGGCAGAAAAGACACATTTCAAACCTGATAATCTAAAAGCCTAAATATGGACGTTTTCATGACAGTAAAAATCGTAGGTGGATACATTCCTATAAAATCAACCAAACGTTTAAAAGTTTGAGGTCACAGCATTAAACGTTGTGTGGTCGGACAGAGGACCCAGGATAGAACCCTGTGGAACGCCACAGTGTCTGGCGTAGGGTTGTAGAAACAAACATTGGTTTTAAAATATGACAGTGTTAAAAAGCGGTTCCCCTCAGAGTGGATCCTGTCTACAGATGGTTCTGGTAGGTTCTGGAGGTAAACTGACCAGCCACCATCACACATGCTGATATAGCCTGGAAAGTTTACCCAGAATGCACTTTGTTAAGTTTCCTCTGAGAATGATCAGAACCAGAACCACGTCCAGGGTACCAATGATTGTTTCTAGTGCTATAAAATAAAAATGTCATGTGTCTATCTGCGGTACTGATGAAGTTCTGAGGCTCAGAAATGATGGAAAAAGTCCATTAAAGTGATCAATCTGGACCCTCCTCTGTGGACTTGAAGGACCTGGACCTCTGGAACATTCACAGTCTGAATATCATCAATATTTTAGGTCAAACACGTTAGAGGAAGACGATCTTTTGATTTTATATTTCATTACGTGTCCTCTGTCCAGCATAAATATAAAAATGGTAATTGGATTTTTACATTTTTTCACATCATGAAAATAAATCACACGGTTTCAGTGTTGTCATGGAAACCAAACATATTAAAAACATGCTTCAGTTTTTAACATGTTATTTAACAGAACAACAACCGAGTCGACCTGATGATGATGATGTTTGGCAGCTGGATGTTTCTGTAGAAACTCACCTGTTTGTGCAGGTACCTGTTTTATAACTTTATTTAAATACGGAGGCTTCATGCTGAATAAACAGTTTTATAACCAGAAAACGAGTCGCTGCTCACTTTGTTCTCACAGCGTCCACCAGGTGGTGGATCGCGGCTCCCACCTGCTCTGCAGCCTGCAGGAGCTCCGCCCCCTTTCCCTCACCTGGACACAAAAATGAAAACAGGTTAGTGAAGAAAGTTTACCTGATGAGTCAGACAGACAGGTGTTTGTCTCACCTGTCTGTCTCTCTGTCCACCTGTCTGTCTGTAGCTCAGTCTTCAGTCTGTCCACAGTCTTCTGCAGCAGCTCCTCCAGACTACACTTCCCACAATCCCCTCCTCCTCCTTCAGGCAGACAGGTGCCTTGTCCCTCTAACTCCGCCTCCTCTGGTCTGTGCTGTGGTCCTATTGGATGATGGAGACATGCATCATCTGCAGACTCCTCCTCACAGTGTCCATCATGTGACAGAGGAGAGTCCTGGTGGATTGTGGGAGATGGAGTTTGTAGTTCATCTACACGCCACTCCTCCTCTGCCTTCATCAGCTCCGCCTCTTCTTCTTCTTCTTCTTCTTCTTCTTCTTCTTCTTCTATGTTTGTTGGCGTGTCAGAGGTTGGCGTGATGTTCCCTCCCTGCGTGTTCTCTGTGTTCTCCGTGTCCAGCGTGCTCTCTGGCGTGTTGTCAGTGTGTGTTCGAGCCTCCATCTTGTTCAGAGCCTGAAGAACAAAAGGAGAGCTTGAAGGTCAACTACGACTCCCAGGATGCACCTCACCAACATGCAGCTAATCACAGAGCTCCCCTCAGACACCACCTGTGTGAGCATGCCCTGCAGACAGGTGTTGTGCTGTCTCAGCGTTTCCATGGTGACCTCCATCTCAGAGCACCTGTCCTCCAGGACGCCCTGCTCTGATTGGACGGTGAGCCGCCAGGCCTGCAGCTGCTGCTCCAGCAGCCTGAGGGAGCGGCAACAAACAAACAAACAAACAAACAAACAAAAGCTCTGTGATGCTAGACAAAAACATGATGATAAACTGTGATGAACACAACGAACAAAACAATGATAAACAACACAACAAACAATGCATCTGAGGGAGATCCAGCTCACCATTTGTCTCTCTGCAGGTTTCTGACTTCAGTCAGAAGCGACGCCTACGACAGGAAACCGTCATGTTTACGTCATGTTTACAAACACATGTGCTCTATAAATAATCTTTATCCATAAATAAAGTCTAATTGATCAGAGGTCACCTGCTGACTCGGCGTCTCCTCGTCCGTCTGCAGAGCTTTCGTCGAGCACTGAGACGAAGGCCGCCGCCCCGAGGCATCATGGGAAACCTCTCTGTCAGAGGAGGGACTGTGAGCTGCGTCAGCCAATCGTGTTGAGGCGTCAGAGGGGGGCGGAGCTCTGAGTGGAAAACCGCTTCATCAATTTGACGTGCTCGACCAGGTTGTTTGACTGACAAACAGCTGCCTCACCTGTTCTGAGTCTCCGCTGGCTCCGCCCACATCAGGACTCTCTGCCTATCAGCTTCTCTTTGAGTGTATCGCCGTGGCAACAGAGAATGACGAGCACTGTGCACTAACGAGGACAGAGACTCTCTCCAGGTGGGCTGAAGAGATGCACAGTCAGTCACACCTGTCTCTGTTCTCACCTGTCTGTTCTCACCTGTCTGTTCTCACCTGTCTCTGTTCTCACCTGTCTGTTCTCACCTGTCTGTTCTCACCTGTCTCTATTCTTACCTGAGTGCAGAACTCGAGCACTGGATGGTGGGTTTTGTGTTTCCTGGTTCGTCGGTCGGTCAGGAAGCAGCTCTGACACACGTGGACGTTAACACACTTCATACATCGATACCTGAACACACACACAGGAGGTGATCCATCGCTCACCTGGACTCACCTCAGTAGAGTCTAGTTAACATCACTAGGGTCTAGTTAACACCGGCAGGGTCTAGTTAAGAGCTCGGAGGACTCACCTGAGCCCGGTGATGGGGAAGGTCTTACAGGTGTGGCAGCGAACATTGTGGCTGATGTTCTGACCGATTGACAGCCGGTACACAGTGGGTAACCATAGCAACAGGCGTGGCTCGCTCTGCAGCCATGACATCACGTATTCTTCGCTGGCCGTCGGGGTCACCACCTGTAATCATGCTCAGTCAGTGTGTTTCCATGACGACTGCCAACCACCTGCGGCCGAGTGTTTGCGCGTTCTCACCCCGTTGAAACACGACCTCACCGCCGCCTCCACGCCGCCGAACACGTCCTCCTCCTGCACCGCTGCAGGAACCTGAACACACAGGTTACAGAGAGCAGGAGGAGGGAGGCATGCTGGGAAACGTAGTCTGAACTGGGGTTACCTGGCTGAGGTCCTGCAGCAGAGATCGGAGGCCGGACCTGCTGACAGATCCTGAGCTGTTCCCCGAAACGCTCACCAGACCTGCAGGACGTGATTCAAAGCATAAAATCTAACATACTTAAACTACAAAATCAGGTACAAGTGTATTTCCCACATTAGGTATGACAGTAGTTTCACTACTTTTGACAGAGTTACACATGATGAACAACACTGACATTATTCCATGTTTGTTCTTATTTTCTGTTATGTACCAAATATATAAAATATGATTTCATTCTAATATTCTGAGTCTTGCAAAAATAGCAAAACCAACAATCGGTGTCAGACCTGGTGTTCCTCATGGCTCCATTTTAGGCCCCTTGAGCTTCTGATTTACGACACAGATGTGCTCCATCGCATTTTCTACTTGCAGATGAAACTAAATTACAGAAATCTTAAGATAGCAATAAAAACTAGAAAATTTCCTTGCAGA